CTTGAGAACCAAACTCATGACACTTGTGAATGGTTTAGAAAGAGATTTACTATATAATTCAGTTTAGTCTGGCACATGGTCACAAAAGTGGAGCATCCAGTGAGGATGCCAACAATTGTCACATATCAGGTTTCCATAGAAAAGGGGCGAAGACATAAGTAGGCATAAGTTAATACAAAAAAGAAGTTAACGATATAAAAGAATTTGGGAAAATTTTTACTCTGATGCATTTCATCAATGATCTGATGTCATCAAAAAAAGTATTTCATTTCACAAGAAACAAAACCTTTTTCCAATTAAATAAGATCAGCAAAACTTGTCAACATGAAAATTCTTCCAAATTGTCTTATTTGCATTGAATTTTACTCATGCAAGAGACAGCAAAGAAAGAAGCATCACTTACCTCCGAGGTAAACATTCCAGCACAGGTTCCGATGCACCAGGCAACCAGTGGCTTGGTAATTTTGCCAGACTTCATTTGTTCAATTACTCTGTATTCTTCAACACCTCCTACCTGAAAATGCAAGGTAAACAGCCATCACATTGGCTTTCAAACAAATAGAATTCTAAGCAGAGAGTTGTCATTCTATAACAGGAGTGACCAAACTTGTTTACTGAAACTTGGTTACTTTGCTGTTGGATGTAGTTTACCATCTTACCCAGGATGCAGATGTAGTTTATTGTCATACCCAGGACAGTGGGCTGAAGTTGTTCAGTCCTCACTTCCCAGCCTTGAAAGAGTTCAAAATCATTTACAAGGTCTTGTAGGGGATGACCTATTCTTCACTCTGAAGACTCTTTTTCACAGATGCAACATTGCAAGTCTATCTTTACTATTGGCTTTTCCATGGCAAGTATTTAGTTGAGCTCCATTCTTCATTTCCAACAGGAAACTAAGACATGGCAAGCCACTTCCACAGAGTGTAATCATCCACATTTCCTCTGTATTCCAATTGTAAGAAGTTTTACTCAAGACAACTTTTTCCTCAAAACTACGACTGTTTGGGAACAAAATCCTGCGGAAATGTTTCCCTGAACACTTAACCGAATTAAGTAAGTATTCAATCAGTATCCTCCTTATTCTTGTAATCTTCACTTCCAATCACCTCCTTTTTCAGTCACACCTCATCCATCATAACCATTTTAACAGTGAGACTATCTTGAGTGGCTCTTGAGCTTCATATTAACTTTATTATAAAAAAAGAAGTCAGTTGCTAAATACTGTACATTTTAAATATATTACTTTTAACTGATGTGATATAATGACCTGAAGAACTAACCACAAAACGGGGATACTACTGTTAAGGAAATATATATATATATATATAATGACATTAGTGAAATGATCAGCAAGACAAGATGAGCAATGATTATACCATGAATGGTACCTTTCCAGGTTTTCTTTTTCCTTTTTGAACATTGTTTATTTTATTTGCCTTTGGTGCCACAAGGTGATGTGATTTTCATTTTCTAAATTCTCCAAGAAGACTGAGAACTGTCTGATGACAGAAGCTTCTTACCTCTCCTAACAAGACAAGCATCTTCACATCTTCTGCTTCCTGATAACGCATGATGTGATCTGGGAATGTAGTACCAGGATATCTGAAAAAGTAGAAGAAACGTGAAAAATTGGTAAAGATATTTTTCTAATATGTGAATTGATCCATTAAACTGCAGCCTTTTTTCCCCTTTAAATTATGTGAATTAAAAATATTTTTAATGACAAAAAGAATGATTTCAATATTCCAAGCAATTCTTAGAAAGATGAGAGCTCTTCTCAAAATTATAAAAAGGTACCATAAATAGACTATATTTTTTTACTTACTTTTTAAAGTTAATAATTTATATCTGAAATATGACTTCTCTTCAAAAATAATCAATACATTTTATGTATGAAAAGCATATAGAATCATAACAATTCTTTTGAGGGCTGAGGTAATTCATTAATTGACAAGATGATATTTTCAGTAAAAAGAATTTCATAAAATATCTACTGCTTAGAACCATTTTACTTTTGTCCTATAACAAAATAGGAATTAAGAAAGTTTATTTTATTTAGATTTTTTTGTCACCAATTCTCCATTCTTGATCATTTCTTGTTGAATCAGACCACCAGCATTTTTGTCATGAGAAGTAATTTTTATTTTCTTACAAAAATGTTCATACTATTTCTTTGAAACAAAGCCAAAATTAAAACTTCAAAATAAATGTCTATATTTATTATTTTTGCAATATATTTTACAATTATTAAAAAGTTTATGATTTTAACCCATCATAAACTTCATCACATGATAAAAGTCAGTTCAGTTATGTACCATGTGTGATACACGCTTAGGCGATCATGTATCTTTCAATACATGACTGATGAGGCAGATTTTTTTGCCATCCAAGGACTTAGAACCCAGTCTGTCTTGCTATTTACCCATAGCTGGGGGAAGAAGACAAGGATTCATACCTTTCCCAAGAGCATTAGCAAGTAAGTAAATGTAATGGATTCGAGTGGAATCCAAACTCGGATCTCTGATTCCTCAATCTGAGCCACTATCCATTACAGGCTTCATTTAAAAAAAAAAAAAAAAAAAAGAAAAGAAAAGAGATCTATCTAGTGTTAATTATAGGTTTCTACTTTTGTGGAAATTATTTTTCCCAAGCAGATCAAATAATCAATTATGAAGTTCTTGATCAAATCAAAATTTAATGAGACCTCATTCATACAATAACATTTCAAAACTGTCCATTTTATATTTGCATATGTTTAACATTTGGATCACAACCTCTTGTTTGATAAAATGCAGTAGAACACACGAAAAGTGATTTTTTTTCTTTTTTTAGCCTCAAGTTGAATATTTCTTCTTTCCTAATGAGATGCTTTTTTTATGTTCATTCCTATTCTCAGACTGATTTTAATATAACATATGCATTGCTTCTTTCAGTTCTTTTATTCACCAAATCTCTTCTATATTTTTTTTTTTTTTACTTCATTCTATAGGGGGTGATTGTACCCTATTTTCCTCCTATACATGATCAACCATACCTGATAAAACTCAATATTAATTATAAAAATTAAAATAAAGATCCGTTATTAATTATAGGTTTGTATTAATAATTCATGAATGGCCACCATCACATTTTAGTGGGGGGTTGGTATGAATAGATTAATCAAAAATCTATGTATGATTGTAACAAGAGCACAACTTAAAAATACAGATAGAAAAGGATTGCATGTACCTGTCTCCTCCAATAGCAACACCTTCATACACACCGTTCGTATTCAGAGCAATTATATTGTTCAGTTCATTAGACATCCCACCAGAGCGGGAAACATAGGCAATACTAAAGATGAAAAAGAAAGAAAGATTGAGAAACAAGAAACTGTTTCAATGCCAAACCCTGCAAAAAAAATAAGTTAGTTTTCCCCTTGAACACACACATACATAGAAATGATTGTGTTATATATGCAAATGTATTATTATTATAAAATATTTAATGGATACATGTGTTTGAGTGGACATCACCTTGTTTTTGTAAAATGGTGAAATAAAGTTTAGCAATTGAAAGTCAAAGAAAATGTGCCTCCCAATAGAAATCAAATTTGTATTCTCTTTTTAATCAGGGAAATTGCTTTCTAGCCAAGTATGCTTTATCACTGGGCTACAAGAAGTTATTACAGCAAAGTAAAGCAAAATTATTCCGTTTAAAGAAATGCATATAATCTCATTGAGAACTTTCAAAGTCTATAGGCAAATGTGAATCAATAAGTTCAACCTGTAGTTATTAGGTAAATTTCTATTAAAAATTTTTACATTCATTTTTCTCATATGACAGATTTAATATTCTGAGTGTGGTACATTTGTTTTTTTTACCCCTGCCCCCAAGGATTTTGGAATCTAAATATCAACTGTCTCAGTGCAAGCAGAAGGAAAGTTCCTCTTTAAAGTTACCCGATGTAACTAAAGTTGACCTACTTCCACTTGCATTATTTTTTTTCTGTGAGGTGACAGAAAAAGTTGACCTTTGAAATAGTTTTTTTTAGTTTCTATTGCTGCATTTTAGAGTTTAACATCTTAAAAAAAATTATCAATGATCTGCTTGGTTGAGAACTGATTGAAAAGATGGCAGCTTAAGAGGAATTATAGTACCTGTTTCTTTTGACAGTTAATTTTAACATGTCTCCATTTTTTTTCAAGTTATATTGAAATTATGTACTATGAAGAAATAATTTTCACTGTATGTTTTAAGGAGGCACCTTGCCTTAAATGCCTACACCTTAGTTTCACCCCCTCTAACCCTCTCAGTGAAGACCCACCATGCTGTAAACATTGAAACAATCCACCATCATTTTTTTCGTATTCCATTAGTAAGAAGTATGTTCCACTTAAACAGCTTCTTCCCACAAATTGTTACTTTATGGAACCAACTCCCAAGAGGATGCTTTCCCAGCCACTATAATTTTAACTTGTTCAAGTCTAGGGTTAATCATTATTTTTCCACTACATGTTCTCATAAATTGCACACCACTTAAAGTTCACACAAAAACCTCCTTCAATAATCCTCTACGTTGAGTGGCTTTTGGGCTTTGTGAACATTAAAAAAAAAAAAAAAAAAAAAATCCCTGAAGTAAGTAAATTAACAGAAAAGGAGATTTTATTAAAAAATATTTGTTGTGTAAAATAATCATTATTGTTCATTATTGGTTTGTGGACATTATGGTTCCATTTCTCATTATTTTGCTTCTCATCCTGTGAAGGTCCTTTATTGAATGTAGGCCTTCCCCAGATTGCTGGGGGGGGGGAATGAGCCATTACCCTACCATGCGTGTTCAGTACCTAGTGCTGGCCTATTGCATGTTGGTAGGAACAGATGTGACAGGCTAGGATGATCATGTCTCTTTTCGATTCATGATCGCCCATAAGTGAATGTAACACTACAGGAATTTGAACCCAGCTCTCCAATTTCTCATCTTCTCACCATTATCCATTACACCACCCATACATCCAAGTCTACAGCATGTGGTATTCCCAAGTGGTTACCCATCTAGGTACTGAACAGGCACAACATTGCTTAATGTTGGTGATTGGAAGAGAACTGATGTTTCAAAGTTATATGGGCATGAGGACATGAGTGTGAAGTTAAAAATTACACAAAATTTTTTGAACAATCAAGAGAGTTCTTAAAAGTGTGAAAATTTTGAAAGAATTTACTTTAGGGGTTCAAAATCATTTTTAAATTATAAGGTTTCAACAGAAAATCCAATAAAGAGAATTTTTAACAACCTCAACAGATTTTGTCTCATTTTTTTTTATGAATAATCTCCCTTGTAAATGTCAGATGGCAATATCTTTAGAGTCTGTCTATATTTCCGAGATGAGGTATTATGTACAGTATTTACATTAGTCAGACTATTGTCCTCATCTTTGTCACAACGTTTCAGCCGTTGTACGCTCCGGCCTTCTTCAGGTGGTTGGAATTTCGAACTGAACGCTTTATTTCGATCACTGGTGTAGACTGTTCTCGTTCCACGTGCCATGTTTGATGGATGTCAGTTATCTCTTGCTAATTTTCCCTCTGAAAGTTCTCCACTGCCTTAACCAGGTATTGAACTCACATTCTTTGGGTCTGTCACTGGATCTAACCAACGCCTTTATCCACTGTGCCATGTGTCCTTTCAACCCTTTCATCTGGGTATGAACTTCTGGGTATTATAAACCTAATGTTTTCAGCAACCATTTTTTACCAGTGCTCATATTGCAATTTTTTCTGTTATCATTGTATGTTTTTACCAGAGTTCATATTGCAACTTTGTTATCATTGCTTTTCTCTGGCACTCCTTATTACCGGTTCCCATATTGTATTTATTTCCATGCTTGGTCGGCTCAGGAGATTTTTGTGGCCTAGCATATGTGCTGATTCCTTAAGTTTTCGAATTTTCCAACGGTGTTCCCTGTCTATGATCTCAACATGATCCCACAGGGGACGGTGATCTCCCTTCTCTCTCCATATGTGGTCAGCCACACCTGATTTTTCTACTTCCCCTCACGTTACAGCTTTCTGGTGTTCTTGAAGCCTTACCTTGAGGGGGGTGGCCTGTCTCTCCTTTATATTCCTTTCCGCAGCTGCACGGGATAGCGTACACACAGTCTTTAGTCATGTTCTCCTCTGTGGGGGATCTCACTCGAGAGAGATATCTGCGAAGTGTTGTCACGCTTTTGAAGGTTGTCCTGATGTTATATACACCGCAGATCCTTTGTATTTTCTCTGATAACCCCTTCACATAAGGCAGGCAGACTGTTTTCTGAGTAATATCTTTATTTACAAAATTGGGAGATGAAAAGACAGATTCCAACAGTATCAATTAAGAGGTGGTTCCACACCCCTCAAAACCTCCTGATCAAAGGCCTTGCTGTCAGATGTAGTTTATTATCTTACATCGTGCAGTAAGGAACTAATGATTATATATATGGGTGTGGGTGCAGTTTTGGTTGAAGACCCATAGAAGTTCTTTAAGATTGTTTTTAATTCATTTTTCTATGCTTCAGACCATTTTTTCTGGTTTCCAGGGAGAATTTAAACAAATTAAGCTTTTTGGTGTTTTTTGGCTTTTATGTTGATGAGTTTGTGTCTTTCAACATGAAATATTAAGAAAAAATGTATGGTGTGTGTTCATATGCAAGACATGAGGGATAATTTTTTAGCCATTTTGGATGGGAGGGAAACACCTTTTATACCATCAAATGTCTTTTTTGGTAAAAAAGAAACATGAATATTTAGGCAGAAATTCCCAAAATTTTAAAAGAATTCAAATATTAAAATGAAAATCTAGTTAAGTGTATTGTTTTCAGGATGACATCCCAAAAGAGAATGAAAAGAAAATCATTTAAATCAAAACCCAATCTGATCAAGAAAAGATCAATAAGCAAGTTTAGACAAATGGCTGCCAAAGATAGCTACGAAACTTAATAGTAATCACTCCCAGTTTATAAAATGTGTGTTAAATTCATTAGCAAATAGCATTTCTACATAAAAGTATAAAAGAAAATACATTATTTCTTGGGTATCATTATTTTAGGCAGCAATTAGTAATCTTTGCATTATTTTTTTTTAGTGTTTTTTATATTTTTAATGAATACAAACAAAAACTAGATCATTATTATTGAGGTAAGCATGAATTCAGACAACACACTATTATGATTAAGTTGCAAGTTAGTATATTGCATTTTAGTATTATTGCCCTAAAAAAATTTTGCTATAATGGGCTGTTTTTGTTGTCTTACAATAACAAAGCCACAAACAGAAATCAAATAATTCTAATACAGATACAGAATCTTATGAATATTGCTGCATTTTGTAGATAATCACAAAGCGACTTACCTTCCAGGTCGATAGAGTTTGGATGAGAGAATGTTGTCCAACATTCCACCCGTGTTACCAATTTTGAAACACCCAGGCATGACACCTCCCACCTAAAACACAGACAAGGATAATGTAATTAGCATTTATTTTACCTTTCATGCATAGGAGACAATTTCAGCTTTTAACTAAGATCTTTGTGGAAAAACTATTAGAAAAAAAAGAGATAGAAACAGATACAATTTTATCATAAAATCTGGACTTAGTAGCTTAGTTTGAACAAATTTTGTCATTTCAATTATGAATATTGTATTTATTATGAGACAATCTCATGAACAACAACAGTAAGTGTGCACCTACTAAAATGACTAAAGTCAAAAAGGTCACACAGTGAATTAATCTTCTGATATAATTGTTTAATTACTCGTACCAATAGAAGTTACATGAACAGTCATTACATAAAATGAATAAAAAGTAACATTGGTTTTAAATAATAGGGTTTCCTTTAGAGAGACACAAAATTCAAATTATTTTATGCATTTTCTTTTACGTTTATGTCATCATATAGAGAAGTTAAAAAACAGTTTACATTATAAAAATTTCTATTCAAAAGAAAGAATTTAATTTGAACAATTACATATTTCCATGGAAACAATTCCCAAAAATGTTTTTAACTCTTAGGGGGAAAAAAAAAAATGACTCTGCGTTTTTAAAAAAAAAAAAAAAAAAAAAAAAAACTCTTAAATTTCTTTTACAATTGCCACTAGGTGCCAACTGTTAAATCTATCAGGCTTTCTCATTGTCATACTTACAGTGGCAGGTCCAATGATAGAGACACCTTTTTTGTTGGCTTCCTGAATAAGGTGCCGAGTGAGATTTTCTGGAATGCCTTCAGCAATGATGGCAATGCTGCGAATCTGAAGACAAAGAAAATTCAGATTTTAAATCACAAAGAAAAAAAAAAAAAACCCCAAAAAGCAGCAATTTTCAAATTAAATCTTTTAAAAATAGTAACTACATGATCTTACCTGAGGATAGTTCAAGGTTTCAATTGTGCTTTCATAAGCCGACCGTAGTGAGGCAAAATTGACAAGGACGTCAGCCTGGGGGTGTTTCTTCATAGCATCAGCCATATTCTTGTACACTGGAATATAAGTTAAAAACATAATTAGCTAATAGTTTTGAAGGGGAATAAACAAGTCTCTCTGGAAAATAATTATCTCTGGCCTAACATATGGTTGAAGCATTTAAATACTTACCACCTGTAAGTGGTAAGTATTTAAACAAGTCCTGTAAACAGTGATAATTTTGTTAAAATTCCAGCCATTGTTAACTTTCATAAAAATCCTCTTCAAAAAGGTATAAATCCATCTCTCTGCCTCCCCAATTATGGGTTAAATAACAAAGCTGACTTTGCAACCAGTCTAGGAGTGGGAAAACTGAATTCAAAACCAGCCTAGAGAAGGTTTGGCATGGTCATGTTATCATGACCAAGATGCATCACTGCTGTTATGGTTGCAGTACATATCATGTCCTTATAACCCTAATTGGTTAGAGGAAACTCTTTTATTAAGTCAAAGTCACTTCTACCATGCTGAACTCTAATAGTATTTACTCAAATGACATTATTTTTATTATTATTATTACTAGCAGTATAAAAGGAATTAAAAGTTCTATCAATTTTCATTAGTATCAGCTGATCCATAATAAGTAGATTTCAATATACTCCTCTCATTAACTAGATTGTACAGAAGGGACATGTGACTAAAAGGAAATAGTGGTTACGGCAAAATACTAACTTGGAAAACATAACATTAAAGATGTAGTCCATCATATTTCTCCCCATCATGAGGTGTGTGAAATATGTCCATTGTATGAAGCAGCCAAAGTAGGTAGGTAGATTTACAAGTGGTTAGTGCATTCAATATGGTTGCTTAGTACTGATTGATACAACAACAGTAATGATTGAGTAATACAGGATTTTACCATCGAGAATCTGGCTGAGAGGTAAGAGATTAAATCTATAGCATTCACTATAAATGACAATAAAAAGCATGGGAACAGAACAGCAGCAAGGGTCTAAGATTTCACCACCTGCTAAAAAAAAATTATACGTTTGGCAAAAGCAAGAAGATCATCTAATGACAGCTAAAAAAGACAAATATATCCTCTGTTGCCCTTCCTTATATTGGCCTAATTAAAGTGGTTGGTAGAGGAATTCAGAATGTTCTACCAAAATGATAATTAATGAAACCAAGAGATAAGCAAAAGAATGAAAAATTGAGTTGAGTTACTAAAGGTAATTAACTGAAACTGAGATATACAAGAAAGGCATGGGACGTGGAATTAGAACAATATACACCTGTGGATTAAATATAGTGCTCGGTTTGAATTTCCAACGTATATCACCTAAATAAGGCTGGAGCATACAACAGCCAAAACATCATGAATATGGCAATAAAGATGAGGACAACAGTCCAAACAATGTAAATAATTACAATACTTCATCTCAGAAATATAAACAGATGTTGAAAACCTTAAGAGTTTTGCAGTTGATGTAACTGGTGTTATGTTCCTTGTGGTCTCTTGGCAATTCTTCAGCAATGAATCAAACTGAATGAACAATGGACAATTTTTGGGGGTTTCTTTTCCTTGATTTATTTCAGGAGTGGGGAGACATTAGTAGTAGCAGCATTGTTTCTTAGAAGGAAGGTTTGGTTGTTTTACCAGTATATCAACCCTTGTGGGTCAT